ACCCCTATAAAAATCTACTTAAACCTGTGTTGAATCGAAAAAGGATAAAAAATGTGAGAAATTCAGTCCTATCCTGACCAAGTAGACTCTCTGTCAATTATTCCTTTTATTTATTTTATTTAACCTGTTTCCTGGTTGGTGAGTTAGTAGTTTGGTGGTAGGATGCTTGTCAGTCACACCTCACGTTGTCTGAGGTTTTATCTTTGACTGACGCCATCCTAAACCTTGCCTAGCTGACAAGCCGAAAATGATGGATGGGTGTGAGACTAGCAGCCTCAACCTGTAAATCATAAAGAAAAACACCACTGCTACTGAAACTTCTAAGCTTGGTACCTAATGTTCCACTCGGAACGCAAACAAAATAGAAAATTATTCCTTGCACACCTGGGAGAAAATAGAGTAAACTACTTTCACTGTAATTCATTCTTCGAAGTTGTTACTCTGATGTATTGGTGTACAGAATTAGTTTTCTTCATAAATTGGCTATGTGTCTTTATCGCGGTTACACATTACAACACCATCATCCACATACGCCAACGTATAAATAACCACAGTAGTCGAATCATTCCTTGAAGATAATGAAGGCTGTTTAGGCTGGGGCATAGAAGGAATCCACACTGCAATGTATGTAATTGATAAAGAATAAGAAAATGAAGAACACCAGCTGTTATGAATTCCATAGATGATTTATCTATTCACTGGTTAACTGTAATAAACACAAGATCTTCGAACACCTTGTCCTCTCTGGACATCGAGCACCGCCAGATGAATGCTTCACAGTTCTACACAGAGACCCTCTATTTCGCACAAAGGGACTTCGCATACGCCATCTGTTCATAGCTGAAGCATTAGCTATTCTAGATCTGAAAGTGGACCTCTGCATTCAAAGGCGATACATACATTCACTCACCCTACCGTGGCCAGAGTAAATTTCTTACTACAATTTCACTTCTTATCTTTTTATTACGTAAGTTTAGTATTATTATTGTTATGAATGATATTATTTTATTGTCATTATTATTCCCTTCACCCATATTTTATTACCACTCTATTACTGTTTATTAATAACATTGCTTTTTCATACAGATTTCATGTAAAAACATTATCGTCTTTCCACTAGTTCCTGTCTATTCTACACTATTTTACTGATTGGTCATTATCTCACACTTATCACGTCATGCCAACTTCTGCCTCTTTTCTAACTTACAATTAGTCATCCATTCTAGTTTACACCTTACATTATGTAATACATTTTTCGAGGACAAAGTTTACCAGTATCTGATTGGTCTACAGATTTCTTTGTTAAGTGTAATTACGATTCTACAGCTCATAAAAATGAATCGGCGAAAAGAAAATTTTTTTCTCTGTTTACGCCTTTTTCTTATCTTCAGAAGCATTGAAAAGCTGATGTCGAGATCGCAGAGGATATGCGGTAGACTGTGCAGAACCAGAAGACGCGCACACATTGACCGCAGACTCTGGAAGATCTTGATTTCCTGGACGACTTACGTCTAAAATTACATAAACTCGAAGACATTCAGGAGAAATCCAGATTTGGAAGCAGCAAAAATAGGACTTCAATTGACAAAGAAAAGATAATGTAATAATAATAATAGCTTTATTCCAAACAGTATTTGTGGTACAGGTATGGAATTTTCAGCGTGCATTACAATATTGCATCTAATTACCTCATAAATTTTATAAGATTTCAAAAATAAAAAGCAATAACAACAAAAGGAAAAAAAGAAAAAGAAAAGAAATGAAAAAAGAACAGCATTGCATTCACATTTTAAACAATGCACCACAGGATTTGAAATATAAAATTAGTGTGTAATAGAATATGTGAGCAACAATATAATAGTAACAAAGAAAGGAGAACAAAAGCTAATGGGAACTATTTGTTAGAGTGCCGCAGTAAGGTGATCGTGTCATGCCTAACAGTTTTCTCATCACATAACAGCTGTGCCAGATAAGGTATTGTGGAGATTTATACTTGGTAGTCCTGGCATATAGCTTCCTATAGTTGCTTCTAGTTCTACCAGATGAAATGCAAGGAGAGAGCTGTGTATAGAGAGGGTGTTTGGGGTCTGACAATATAGAATTCGCTAGTTTCTTACATGACATTATATGTCTATCCACAATGGTGTTAACCAGTTGGTTTAACGAAATCCCACTTCCCCTACTAACAGCTTTTAGTGCCCTACGCAGCAAAGCAAAGTCTTTCTTAAGTAGTCCAGGAAAGATTAATGGGGAGCAGTAAAGAGGGATGGGTAGAATACAAGAATTGACAAACTGAGAAAGCAAAGACTGCTTTATACCAGACTGCCTTAACTTCCTAACGTAGAACGTTAAGCGAAACATCTTTCTAGTAACTAGCAAGATGTGAGAGGACAACTACAGTAGAAACTACAGTGAACACCAATCACATCCTTCGCTTATTTCTGTAGTATGGTTTCAACTGCGAGCGGTGACATGGATGACGATGTCAAAACCAGAATCGGAAATGCAACGTAGACCTTCATCCAGCTAAAATCAGTGTATAAATCTTCTGAATTCAACACAAACAAAAGAAAAATCTTCGACTTTTTTTCTATGTAGGTCAAAAACTTGATGCGCGCATCACAGGAAGCACTTCTAACGCGCTGTAGACTTCCATGAACAGCTTCCTGCACTCCATACTAAGACCAAATGACCAGAAAGAATTAGTGACAAGAAACCATGAGAACAGGCATACGCCCAGTGTTCAACAACCATGCCGAAGAAAATGGAGAGGGATAAGTCTCACGCTGAGAAGACTTTCGAATGAAATCGCACATCACACACTAAGGTGAAATCCGAATGGGGGACGATGAGTGGGTCATGAACTTGAGAATGACAGAAGGGAGATAGTGGAGGAGGAGATGAGAAAATATAGGCAATCGAGAGGCCAGCTAAAGATGACAGCAGAAAATAGGACAAAGTGGAGATGAACTATTGAATTCCTACGTCACACTCGAAACCGAAAGGAAGAATGGTATTGATATAATAATAAACTGTGCATCTTATTGCTTTGTTGAAAAGCAAGGAATCTTCAGTTTTGCGATAAGCTGTCAATTGCAAGAGTGAGCGATTCTCGATTTGGAGAAATGAAAATCTTGGTAGGACGACAGTATAAGATAAGTGGTTTGGCTGATGTGGAGATTTTCGACGTGAAAATACGAACTATAATCTTATAATTCAAACATTCGAAACGAAATGGATTGAAGAAAGAGGAGCTTTGATTTAAATGGTAAACCATATCAGTCATTGTTTTGACTTTTAGAATAATTTACTCACCAGAAACGCTTCAATAAACATTCCTATTCCAGCGATGATAACAGCAACCTAAAATTGAAATGAACAGTCGAAGTAAGGACAGTGTGAACAGGACAAACTTGAATAATAATTGAATGAAATGAAAGTTGAACTCATTTTCTGGATGGAAAGTGACACTCTACGATGCATTTAGTCGTGAAAGTATTCAGCAGTATGTTTCAGTCATCTTTTTTTTATGTGCTTACGAGTTTCATTAGCGATGCGTTTGGCTGTAACACTCAACTCTCCCTCACTTCTGGACTAAGTGATGGCTGTTAAACTATGCGAGGGATAATGCCTCTACAAGGAATCCAAGTACATGGTAGGCAAATACATATTGGCAACAAAATATCTAATAGCCTACTGTCCACCAAAAGTGCAGAACCAGGTTGCACTGGACGGCAGTTTCGGTTTCCTCAGCAGCACAGGCCCATCAGTATCCTAACTCAGGATTTTCCTGTTACAAAACAGCCTCGTATACCATTAAGTCACTGATAAGGAATACAATGGAACATTAATTCCACTTTCTGTCAGTTCGTGATATATACGGTGCAACCAGCAGCCACTTTTATCGGTTAGTAGCTATTGTCACTCCTGACTTGATGGACCTCTCTGGTCACTAATTCTAGAGAGACGTTGGAATTTATGAGTCATCAGATTTGCCCCCAGTGGCCAAATGATCTGAGAGCCTGCTCTGCAACCGAAAGTTCATGGGTGTGAATTCTGGTAGGTGCGTACTGATGTAGAGTCTAAAACTAAGATAAAACAATCATACAGTACTCCCTAAGTTTCCATTGTTGTTAAAACCAAAGTCAGCTTGTGATGAAACTCGTGATCAATCAAATGACTGCGAGCCAAAACTTGAAAATATGCAGACGTATACGCAGATGGATTGGATATTCGCTGAAGAGACGTTCAAATTGTATTCTGCTAAAATCTGTCCAATGTTATCCGAATGATTTAAAAAACCAAGTTAGGTATAGGTCTGACAGTGAACCGGAGAAGATCATGAGAAGCCATTATGATCGCTAGTGTATAGTCCTGGATTCCGCTGAAAGTGATAACAGAGAACTGAGTGGAGCGGAGATGAGCTTGTGAAGTCATATGTTTCACTCGGATCTCAAGGAACCAATAATTGTAATAATACGTCTAACTTTGTTTCCTAAGCTAGTAATTTATTGCTTATATAAAATAACGAAATAGTTGATTGTAATTCCTAATGTTATTCTTGTTTGTTTGGAAAAATAAATCTTGTCTTCTCAGTCAGTCATCTGTTTCTTCTCAGTGTGGGGAATGATACTCCGTTCTATCAGTAGCATGTTGATGTCCAGTGCTAAAGTCTCAGTTACAACACTATAGGCACGTGTATTATTGTTGTGTTGAAGTAGCTGTAGAACGAGTCCACAATCCCAGTAACATTCAAGTTACACCAAAAATAGAAAACATAAATTTCATCCATTAATTATTTAGTACTCCAGTACTCCCTAGTGGTTTACAGTGGTTGGCTAACTGTTATAAATCCATGAATAAACCTAAAATAAAAGGATACATATAAACTGACAATATGTTAACATACCATGACTTTTTTGAAAGCAATTAGTACTCCCATGGCGATACCTGTCAGAACAAAAATCACAACACACACTACCAGGAAGGCGCCGAATTTCTTAATCAAATCTTTCTTTATCATTGCCCCTAAAAATACTCCACATGCACATATGACAACAGCTGCAACCCAACCCAGAATAACATCCACAAGTGTAGCACTGGTAAAGAAAATGGACAGACAAATAGAGCAACATATTCCCTGGAGTTGAAAAGTAAAAGAAAATAAATTAGACACAGAGTCAATTTATTTATAACAAGTTTTGATTTCATATTCGCTTCAAAAAACAGCTAAATAACAACCGAAGAGTATTTGTTGAATCCTTTCATTAATCCACTATTTGATTACTTCTGATTGTCAGCCAGTGGAAGGCAGGTGAACTGCATGATTAAAACAATACGAAATGCAGAATAATTTAGGCCTTTTGATGGATAGAGACTTTGGCATCAGGGATATGACACCATGTCCCTGGAATCTTTATCACTATCTAGTGTTTAGTGTAATGTGTGGAGTAAATGCCTTTAGTATTCATGTCTTCGAAGTGTAACTTCATTAATAGTCTGCAGATGCTACCTACTACATGGTTGTAGGACCTTATGTTTTGATGGACGTAACCACTAATTGATTAAATATGATGCTGTCATCATTGGAGTCAAATGCAATGGACGATGAATTGAAACCTCTGGCAGTTTGCGACATATGGTGCAACTGTCAGCCAATGTCCTGTTCCAAACAAAGTGGTTTTCTAGTCCCATCAGGATGATGCAACTTCTTCACCTTCCACATCTTCCACACTTTTTTCAGTAGTGTAGTGAACATACCTGCTGAGCCATCTGCTTCCGTTTTGAGTGCTTCTTTGGGCATTCTATCTAGTCCTGCTACTTTACTGGGTATTTAGTAACTTTCTGGCTTTAATCATTCATCTGTGAAATATCATCTTCGTTCACTTACCTATTTTCTTCTGACCTATGAATCACCTTCTTCAGTCAGAAGACATTTCATGGATATGTCGAAATAAAATTGCCTCTCTGACTCTGATGCACCTTAATAAGTGTTTGCAAAACTATTTACCCCTTACACCCAAATACTTCCTGGTAGTGAGATCCATACACTTTCGAAACACATCTCACAATACTATCCAGTGTGTCTATCAAAGAACACTGCATGTCAAACACTAGTTCAGTTCTTCAGTATCTGAGAAATCCCTGGCCATACAGCTTCATTGTAGTCCTCCTATAAATTTATCTGCATAAATTGCAGATTAATTTTCGTGAAAGATGTTAGACTCTGACAGATTTGAACTTACAATTTCAATCTCATGAATGGTGCTCATCAAACGTCTCATTTTATTAGTAACTGAGTATCGTTTACATTTGCTTAAGGGAATAAACATGAAGAAGTTATGTATCAAAAATACCGATTGACTCACATAAATGAGAAGAGTAATTAAAGCAGTAATCAGTTTTTCTCTGAAATATGTAGAAATTACGATAAGATATCCACTGGCTATGGCTAACACGCTGAACAGAAATAAAAGTTTGTGAAGTGAAACAAAAATATTTTAATGAAACTTTATTGATACATTGAAAATCAAAAGTTTCATTTCCAGCCTTTCATTATCTACTTGGCCACATGTTACTTGGCAAAACATATTTCCCTAGTATGCTTATTTCTTTCCCATACTTTGAATAAACTAGAATTGTTTCCTCCTCTGTAGCAGAGTGTTTTAGAACGGTTTGATTTCAGAACAACATTACTTGGTGAAGAATTAAACCGCACTCGGTATTTTACAGCTCTGTAGTGCTTCTTAGGTAACAATGTTTTGAACAAACTCCTTCCAAGCCTAGACATCAGAACGTTTTACTGAGGCTGCTACAGATTTTCGATTAATGTTAAATGCAACACATTCAACCGAATAATGAGACATAAAATCAGACTAGTCATCAATTATTATCTGAAACCGCAGACGGAACCTGATGTTGTTACGCATCTCTGGAGCTGTCAGCAATTCTCCTACGGAAATAATCACTCGAAATACACAAGAATATAAGGTAGCTTCATTGTTAATTTGAGGTAATATCATTGCCCTTTTAACTATAGAGTGACAATGACTAGTATGAATAAACAATTTGTCACAAATGAAAAATACATCCACAGTTAACAGAATACTGAAGCTAAATTGAACTTACCAAAATACCATAGTCATTATAAAGTGAACAACAGGATTCAAGTCGTACGACCCACTTTAATCTAACATACACAAGAGAATGATGAATACTTACAAGAAGTGTGGGGCTATAACGATGATTATTGCAATTATAATGAGTATGATAGAGAACACAATCACTTACGAGGGTTACACAATTAGCCAACAATGACATGACACAACCTACACGTTTATCATATTTCGAAATATCAGTGAAATTTTTCAGTATTCTCCGATCACAGTTTTTCAAAAATGACTCTTCATTTGTTGCAGATAAATTCTCCTCAGATTTACGGAAAGATGATTTGTTTGAGCCGTTGTCAGTTGATAGCATCCTCACCGAAAGATGAACCTGATTTGAAATATAAATATAAAATAGGGTGATTTACTCTCATTCAGTGTGCAGAATAATTCGAAAGTATTTGAATAATGTGATAGAAATAGGTCTGACTTGTATTCTGTTTTTAATGTGTATGTGATATAAAGCAGGGATAGCCAAGCTTTCGACATTCAGCCAATTGCTGTTGAGATTGTATTTCAGCTCACCAAATTCGGTGTGCAGTATCATTGGCTCTCAAACGGTACATGGGCATCTGGAAATTTGCATTATCACTAGGTGAGGAAGTTAGTATATATGATTTAAGCTATTTGAAAAATTCCTGTATACTTTTAAACGTCATTTTATTTTGAATATAATACATTTAATAGGAGTCGTTTAATTTTACTCAATGGAACGGACAGATTTTTTGACTGAATCCAACTGATTTCTGATGTTTCGACACGCTATTTAGGCATAGTTTGGGAAAGAATGCTCACTTCCTTGTAATCACATATCAAACGATATCTTTGTATCTGCAACTCCACTGATATTCGATATTGAACGATCAGATAATGCATTCACAAACGATTATACAATGCCTACACTGCAGGACTCATTGCCTAACTTATTGGAACAACTAACATCAATCCAGTGACCAACGTGTTGATCTGTGCATTCTAAACGTGGTGAAAAAACGCAGTTAGTCCATGGTTCAGTGTAACAATCAATACATACCGTACTTCAAAAGAAAAATTACTGTGAAATAATTCAGATCAGATAGCCGCCTAGTTCATTATTCACTGTCTATTTATATGAAAAATAACAGTAGAAATGGTGATGTGAATGTGATTTTAAAACTCAAAGTCCACAGAATTTTTGACAAAATGTAAGTGTTTTCCAAAATGTAGTAACACAGTACTCCAATACTCTAGATAGTACTATTCGGATAATAATCTAACATTAAACAGACATCTTGAACTGATTATATTTTGATCATGGAGAAATAAATGAATGCAAATATTCTCAACTTTGATACACTGGAGTAATTTTAAACAGTAAAACAGGTTATGAAATATACGAAATCATTCATGAGAAGAATAAATCTTAGAAGGAGTTGTAAAACTGACAAGAACAGTAGATAAATGAAGCATCACCTGACAAACTCTGAATTTGGATAAGTCAGTTCAAAACAGGAAGAGATGAGACAATCGAAGAAACTGTTTAGGGCGAAAAAAGAAATGACAACACTAGCAGATTGAATGAACATTGATTCAAGATCAAATTCATATTTAAACCAGATAAAATGATTACATTCCGATGAAATCCTTAAGATCCACAAACCATCAGAAATGTCTAAGGAGTAACTTTGCTATAAATCGACCCCAAAAACTTATTACGTTGGTGAACAACATTGTCTCATGGTTCCAATAGATTCCGCTTTACAACAAATCTTATGTGATCATTCTTCAGTTAATGTTAGTCGGTGGCACAGCGGTTAGGACGCTCGCCGACCATGCACATTGTCCAGGGTTCGATCCTCGGCCGACTAACACCAGATATCAGTGATCGGCCTGCGAAATTTGGGCTACCGATATCACATGCTGAAAATTCCATACTTGTATCAGAGATATTAGGTTCCTATCATCATATTTCATTTTTTTTTATTTACAGCTTGATTCCACACCGTATTTTCAGTACAAGTATGGAATTTTCAGCATGGATATCGGTTGCCCAAATTCAGGCATACCATAGATATCGGGTGTGCGCCGGCAGGGGATCGAACCCCGGACCATGTGCACGGTCGGCGAGAGTCCTAACCACTGTGCCACCGACGCTTCTTCTGTGTTAATCGCTTTCTGGATAGAGACTTCGTTGTCTGATATAATATTCTGAGATCCCATTTACCTGCATCCTATTCTTCTACAAATACCACTGTGCTGTAGAATTGCATTTTGGTTCCCCTGTCACTCTTCTTCACTTCGTCATTCATTATTGGTGTGCATGGAACTCAGCGTCCCCTTCTGTAGTCAATTTCTGTTATGACTAATCTTATGTTTCACCATCCTCCTCTCCTCGATTAGCTTCCAGGTAGGTGCCCGTTGAGATCCATTACTTGTCTTTACTCTCTTTTCTTCCTAAAATGGTTGTACACGTTTCCTTGAACATCAACGTCAGAGTTCTGATGTTCTACAAAACTGGATTACTCATTGATGCTATGTAACGTATCTTCCGTCCACACTCATACTTGAATTGGTTCATCATTCTCAGATCATCGAGAACCCGTTCGTGTACTAACGATTGAATCAGTTCATCTACTGTCAGTGAAAATATTTTTAAAAAATATTCTTTATTAGCATAAATGCTCAGAAGTTACACATGCATACATGCACACCGATAAACGATTTGCTCAAAAGCAAACGTGACTGAGAATAGTTTGTTATAATAATAAATATAGTAATAATAATAAAAATAGTAGTGAAAGGAGTGTTGAAAATATTTTTCTTTTCCATTCCACCATTCAAATAGGTGGAATGAATAAAATGGCGAATCACATGATGCATTAGTTGTTTTTTTTCAGTAAATTTGGAAGGGGTCATCAATCACCAGATCAGGAGATTCTGTGTGCCAGAGACATAAACATTATGTACTCTCATTGACTCAAGTTAATTTGAATAGTTGTCTGAAATCTTTATGGCAGTGTAACTAAACGTTAGCTGATATCTCGTGTGATGCCTTTAAGAAACAGTGTACGTTCCATTTTTGTTCAGAATTACACATATATGAGAATAATCAGTTTACGCCATAAATACAACAATTATGGAAGCGAATGACATCTTACATTGTCACCGACTATGAATCTTCAAGAGTGAGTCATATACACAATTTTGACAGTGTGAGGAATGAATTTCTCTGCTAACTGTGATCCGCCCTTCTAATAATCAAAACGAATACAATCTTGAATCAAATGATGTATTGGTTATTTTCATAAAGAAATTTAGAACCGGTCATAAATCAGCAGATCACCAGATTCTTTGGAACGGAGGAAAGTAAATTATTCACCGCCAGACAGTGTAGCAGAATATCATTTGACAACTCACATGATATGTTGATTGAAGAAACTGTAAATTCCATTTATATTCTGAAGCACACGAAGCTGAATTAACAGTTAACGATATAAATAGCAGTATTTACGGGGGCCAAATGACAACTCACTTTTCACTAACACAGAATTTCAGGAGTTTCTATTCTTAAGGAATGTGTAGTCATTAAGTTTCAGTAATATGAAAATAACATCACTGAATGCTAACATACCTATATGTACATATTTAAAATCTATTTTCGTACATGTGATGTTACCTGTCATTAGATCAAGCAGACAGAAAGCGAAACGAATCCAATACGTGTAGCAATTATCGCCTCAACCAAGTCGCGACATTTGAGAGGTATGCTGCATTTATATATATGTACATATAAATAGTCAACTGTCTTGACAAGCTCTAAGTACTCCGGTCATCTGTAGTAGGATAAGTGATCTAGAAATCCCTGCTAAACAATCTATCTGCAGTACTGGTAACCACTTGTATATTCGCTGGGGTTTTATGATCGATTTATCTTTATTCCTGGGCTCTATGTTATATCTCTAACATTTGCAATCCATGTAAAATTTAACAGAATATTGGTCATTCGAAGTTGTACAAATAAGCTTATCTCTAGCAGGTGTTAACACTGAAACATTGAAGTTTGGAATGGTCGCTTGGCATGGTGCTTTACATATACTCCAGAAATTATAAGAACAAACTGTTTGACACTTTCACCTTCATGTCAATGATTCTCCAAAGTAAAGCAGTGAGTGTGTGAAAGATTATGGATTGATGTTAGTATATGCCCTGTCATTCCCCTGTTTTCCTCATCAAAATACCAATTTGTCAGTGAACGTAGACCTTCTCCCTGAAATAAAGTGATGCAGATGTGAATATCTCAACATTGTAGCCTTCATAGTTGAGATGGTTTTCGAAATGCACTTGAGAATGCCAGCAGACTTACCCACATACTTCAGTTGCTAATAATAGTAATAACTGTTGTAGGTTGCTGACATTATATTGAATTTTGTCTTCGCAAACATTTACCCTAATAAAATCCGTTAGACGGACAGATGAGATTTCGTAGGATCACTGTGTTCACATGCTGGAGATGTTTTTTCAATTACACCTCAATTTGATACTTTTTTGTAGCGTCACAAATTTTACGTAATAGAGGTAAAATGGACGTGATATTTACATATTTAGTGATGGCTTGAAAACCAACAGAAATAAGCCTGTTCAATTAGGCTGTTATTAGAAATGCTCTTAAGAAACCTGTAGCTGTTTTACACAGACAGGTTGCCATTGGTATTCTAATCATGAAGAATGTTTTCAAATCTTGAAGTAGCTCCAAAAATCATCTTCGTTTGTCAGCAGTGTCCACCCAAACATAGCTATTGATCCACTTGGAGAACAGAAATAATAACTACATAACTCACTTCAGAAGAATATCCAGTGGATAAAGAACTTTCCTTTGTTTTTCAAAGTGACTAAGGGGATCTTTTCAATGGTGTAGGTGGGCCTTATAGTAATTTTTATGAATCAGTGAATCGCAATGAAATGAGAAGGAAGTTTAATACCAAAACTGGAAATTTAAGTCAGACATTATTATCATTGTCAGGATCTCAAAGGATAAATAAATACGAACTGCGCCTGATAAGACTGAGTTATTCACATACATACCTGCATTTCCATACTGCCTGAAGCACCAGTCTGTGATTACAATGAGTGCAACGGACTCTATCCAAGCTGATATAATGCTTGCATGAGGTCACCACAAGGAGAAAATCAGTTTTATTTCAATTATTTGGCGCATGCTTCATATACAATGGAAAGGTGAACTGATGAGATTTCTATTCCACCTCTAGTGAGCAAGAGAATCATGGTCTTCACCCAGTCCACCTAAGTTCAAGTTGCAAACTTTTGTATGCATAA